GCACAGTGTTTTAACCTGGCTTCGATTTCTGCAATATACAGTTGCGTGATTATAATCAGTTCACATCTGTGAGAAGAGTGCTTCCAGGTATATTCTACCAAACACCCCAGGTTTTCTCAGGGTACTCCGGTTTTCTTTTGTATAGTAACATTGGACCATGTAATTACCATAATCCTTAATGGATGGACCTATAGAGGCATGGTATCTACATTCTTCCATAGCTGTACAGTAAATCTCATGATATAAGTCTTTCAAATTGAATTTGTTTTGAAGGAATTAGACTGAGTTTCGTAATATCACCTATCGAACTGACTGGACCTTGTACCTGTAACTCCGTTGGTATAGCGTTAAGGCCCAGACGCACCGGACGCGATTCGACAACGCGACGCGATTTGTCGATTTTCATTGACCGATAACTTTGATCCTAGTTTAAATTTTCCAAATATTTAGAAGCGCTATAACATTTTGAGTTATTTGATCTACATATATTTTAAAATTTGCTCTCATTGGCTGTTTTATTAACTTTCAAAAACTAAAAAATCGCATCGTGTTGTCGAATCGCGTCCGGTGTGTCTGGACCTTTACACTTGCAAATATTGCTGCGATTTCTCGGTGCGGTTTTCTTCTTCTGATGGATGTGAATGAGTAAATGATTTATGAATGTTCTGAGTATATGTTCCTTCATCTAAACATTCATAACTCATCCACTCGTTCACATCCATCAGAAGAAGAGAATCGCACCTAAAATCGAAGCAAAAATTTTAAGTGTAAACAGGCCTTTAGACTAGCAAACGAGGGTCGCAGGTTCGATTCCAACCGGTGTCAAGCTATTTTTCAACTTGCCATTTTAATTAGCGTCGTCTAATATATGTGAATTGATGACTTCATTTTTAGAATCAAGCTGTTGCATTTGACGAGCTAAAGAAAACCATGGAAGTCACACGTGCTCACTTACAAAAAAAACTTCGTTCTCGTGAGATGGAATGTGAACGATTAAATGTACACATCAAGGTAGCGTAGTCATTTTAAACACGAACAAATTTTGCACAGAAAAATGACCATATCGCTGAACATTCATTCCAGAGCATGCTATTACGTGTTTGTTTTGTTTTGTTTTGTTTCGACGTATTTGTGTAAATAGACAATGGCTGGCAATGAAAAGTTCATATTTAGAATGGATTACGTTGTCTGCCTCGATTTCAAGCTATGAATCATACACATCTGGTGTTTTCCACTAGGCGTCCTTGGAGCACAACCTGGAGATAAAAATTTCCTGCAGGCCAACTAAGTATTTTTGTGCTAAATCTGTGCCCAAACATATAGTAATCTAGCTGACCACAGATTGTAAATTCAAGGAAAGATGTCTGTCAACCGTGTTGGGTTTGTTTGGGTTTCCTTCAAATTTTGAACCTAACAAATCTTTTGCGGCTATTTGACTTTTCTGGAAGCAACGATCCGGTTCTTTCGTCTATTTTTTCACCCCTGTTTTCCACCTTAAATCAACTAGAAACTATTTTTTATATATTATTGATAGACAACTGATCAACAATATGAACAAGAGAGAATGGAGGCTGAACACATGAGAGGTCTGGTTGAAGCACTGAGGGTGAGTTTTATATGTGTAGTCATGCGTCTCGTTGTGTTTTTTTTTAAATGCTTTCAACGCTATTTGAGAGCAGCGTTACTTTTATTCCACAGTGGTATAGTTATTCCACAGTGGTATAATCCACACTGGTTTGATAGAGGATTTTACTGTTTGTTGTTTGCTGTACAAAGAAAATACCATAGTCATAGACTATTGTCAACGCTATTTGAGAGCAGCGTTACTTTTATTCCACAGTGGTATAGTTATTCCACAGTGGTATAATCCACACTGGTTTGATAGAGGATTTTACTGTTTGTTGTTTGCTGTACAAAGAAAATACCATAGTCATAGACTATTGTCACCATGGTCATGAACTATAGTCATCATAGTCATGGACTATAGTCCTCATAGTCAAGGACTACAGTCATATAGTCAAGGACTACAGTCATCATAGTGGAAGACTACAGTCATCATAGTCAAGGACTATAGTCAAGGACTATAGTCATCATAGTCAGGATTATAGTCATTATAGTCAAGGACTATAGTCATCATATTCAAAGACTATAGTCATCATAGTCAAGGACTATAATGTCAATTCATAGTCAAGGACTATATTCACCATATTCAAAGACTATAGCCATCATAGTCAAGGACTATAGTCATTATAGTCCAGGATTATAGTCATTATAGTCAAGGACTATAGTCATCATATTCAAAGACTATAGTCATCATAGTCAAGGAAATTATAGTCAAGGACTATAGTCATCATGGTCAAAGACTATTACAGTCATCATAGTCATGGATCATCAATTCATAGTCAAAGACTATAGTCATTGTAGGATCAATACACAGTCGAGTACTATATTCACCATAGTCAAGGACTACAGTTATCATAGTGAAGGACTTTCATAGTCATGGACTATAACTATAACTGACTTTTGCTATGGTTTATTGTCATATCATATGGTTTATTGTTATATATGTCATAATCTATAATCCATAGTCGTAATCATAGTAATCATTTTGATGGAGGACTACATGCATTAAATTATCACGCAAAGACAGAGACAAGTCTATTTTAGCTCTTTTACGATACAAAATACACTCAAACGGTATACTCTCAAGAGAACATTTATTAATTTTTCGAAACTTAAGCCAGCCAATTATTGTGACACATAACCTGATAAGGATAAAGTTACTGTTTCCTGTTGTACGTTAACCAATTTCTGTAGTGCATGACCAGTAAACTTTATTGACACAGTCTGAGAGTAATTATTAGATTACAGTAATTAACTAAGCTAGCGCATGTATAGATATATTATGAAATTACAGTTCTGGGGTTGTTGGAGGTGAATCAATAGATATCACCAACAACTCCATCTGTCCATTGTCATAATCGAGTACTGCAATAATCATACCACCTAACTCTTCTTCTAAATCAAGACCAGCATCTGGGTCGTGCGCCATGATGTCAGAATCTGATCCAACGTGTGTTGGTTGTGCCATTTCAGCATCTTCACTCTCTGGTAAGCCTTGTGCACCATCTGCTTCATTCCCAGGGTTCGTATAGTTGTCTTGTGCGGAACTCTCGTTCGGTTCACCGTCATTCATCGTTTCATCCGCTTGAGTATCATCGTCCTCTTGCGCCTCTTCTTCATGTTCCGTGATGTTGTCTTCGTCTTTATCGTCATTGTCTTCTTGCTCACTTGGGGTGGGACTTCCACTGCCTTCATAACCAGCCATTTTGTGACTGATTTTGTTGATTTTTCACAATATTTTGTGTGATCTGCTGAAGAAAAACAGGATAATGAGTCATTTGAAATCTGTACATCAAACTGGAAGAGTTCTAATCAGGACCTTTGACTGATTTAACCTGGACCTCTTTGAGCTGAATGGAACAAAAGCTTAGATAAGTTGGATAAGTTATGATTGTACTTTTGGTAGAGTTGGGTTTCAATTTTAAAAAGCAAACAGCATCTTGAATTGGGAATTTGGGGTATCATGCAGTTACCCAATTATCATCACAGACCCTTCTGATCTTAATTCCATATATTAATAAATAGCTTTGGGAAGGTTTAGTGCAATGTGCCTTTGCAATTGATAATATAACTAGGCAATACCAAACCTTCAAACCTGTGGAATGGAATAAAATGCACTTATCTTTTAGTGAAGCAATAGGAGCCTTTACATATAGATGTTCAAAATATTATTAAATTGATTATTTTATCATTTTTATTGTATTCTGCATCTGTATAATTTTATTATATCCTTCAATTTTATTATAGCTTGTTGTGGTGAAATAAGTATTAGACTTTAAATTTTGTCTTTAAGCAACTAATACAACAGTTCAATTGTTAAATTGTTCAGTAATGTTTTGTGTGTTACATTTTGGTACAGCCATAGGAAATGGCAACCTTATATATTCTTTATTTTAAACTTTTTCACATTATGCTGTCATTTATTAATAATCTAATCAGCTGAGGTAAAGGAATGTTTTTCAGAAAATAAATTTATATAATGATGCTTAATATTTTCTAAACATTGGATAAATATAGAATAATATATGGTCTTAAATATCTGTTGAATGAGAAATTACCTTTATACGTAACATTTAGATTGAATTGTGAACACAAAATAGAATTCAATTGAAATGTGCTTTGGCGGGAAGTTTAGTACCTACATGCCCTTGAGTACCACATAATTTTATGTCTTATACATAAAAACTGCAATATAAAGTCGTTAATTATAATGTTAATGTATAATATATAGCTAACCATCTGAGTTAAAAAATACAGTTATATGATTATATAAGTTTGGATATTATTGCAAATCTATTTTGCATGATACAAACATCCTATAGTTAGAATTCACGAATGCTTTAGTTTTGTCTTGTTTTCCCATGATACTTTGGCTTTGCCTATGCTCATTTCTATGTATATTAAACCTCGGCCAAGCAAGGCCGAAAGTTGATGAGAGTTGCCACTCTCGTTGGCGTGTGCTCAGCTTATAAGCTGGTACTTTCATAAGGCCGATTTACATCACACAACTTTTGCCTAAAACTGTCGCAGGCAAACCGCTTACAACTTGAGTTGTACTGTGTAAATCAAGAACACAACTCACCACGACAACATAGGCAAGTTGTGTGTTTGATTTACACAGTACAACTCAAGTTGTAAGCAGGTTGCATGCGACAGTTTTAGGCAAAAGTTGTGTAATGTAAAATGGTCTACAGTGTATACGTTGTTCTCCTCGTTCGATCAGAGCTTTGCGGATATTAGAGGACTCTTTTCATTCGCATTGAGGACTAAAATATATTTTCAGTAGAAGTAAACATTCGAAAAACATTTATACGTCCACATTGAAAAACTTTTCTGGTGCTATCTATAAGAAAACATATAGAACTTACCTTGCGTTAAATGGTTACAAACTGTATTTGACTGCTGCCCAATTTGAGAAATCGAAAGAAAATTACGAAACGATGTTTATCAGACGTTATCAACTTATATCCCCAGTCTTATCCACATCCATCCATATGCGTCAGGCATCCGTTAGTTAATCTATTCAACTATTTAACCCTTATATGCGATCTCTTTTCTCACCAAAATGTCTCTGTTTTTCTGTTGGTTGTTAGCCATCCCCGTAACAGTATTATTTCGTCCTGGTATATACATGTGTATGGTATATACTATGTGTAAAGGCACGTCCAAGCCTGTCCGACATCGCCCAACATCGTTGTGACGACTTGCTGTTCGGTTGATGACATCGTCAGATAATGCCTACGTGTAGTCGTGTTTTCTAATTATTGCTGTAGCGAACCTAAAATCAGCACGATTAATCGCATTGTATTAACGTTGCTTAAAACTGTACGTGTTTCAACATTTCGATTTGTCTGAACAAGATCAGATCAACAATGATATTATTTGAAAAGTACGTGGTAAGCGTTATCTGACGAGATCATCGACTGTTCTCACATTCGCTTTCACTTCAGCAAAAACCGAACTCACGCCTGATCACACATATTGTTATATTTTTAAGCTTCCGTCAAAAATGTTAGCATTTCATATTCTGTATCAGTATAGACATACGTTTGTCATGTCCATTCCATTAAAACGCACTCTGGTAACATTGTTACAATTCATTTTGGGAACCGTCGTTTTCTAATTATACGAACACAGTTTTTCAACACTCTTCGACGATTGCCAAAATGACTCCTTATAATATGACTCAAAACATTCCGATTGCGTGTTTGATCATTTCTGGTTATGATCTATGAATTTCACCATGTTCATACTCTAGCTCATCATCATCCGTTTCTGTTACTGTGTTATTCTTCTTTATATAAACTCAATCCAATAAATGTTTTGTACTCTTGGTTCTTTCTATGTTTTGCTAACGACCAAACAGTTGGCATCCAAACGACCTTCAGCTAAAGACTTACTTTTATTTTGGTTTGTCTTTGTTCTCATATACCTTATTATAATTATAATACTATTGTAAAGTGTTCCTGTGGAGAATTTTTGAAATTGCGAATTTTTAATTACCCCATGCATTATGTGATAAAATTCAGAACAGTTCTAGATAGGTTTACTGTTTGGATTAAGATTTGACTAGGGTTTGGATTATAGATTAGAATTAGGTGTGTTAGATTGTGGTATAAGATTATAAGGATTAGTGCATGTTTGGTTATTGCTTGGATCAGATATAGGGTTGCTACTATAAACCCGTTCTGCTAGATTGATAGAGTATTCTACACTTATTCTTGATGAAAAAAATGCCGTGAAAATCTTGATCCAATTAAGCTAAAGTTTAGCCACGAGAAAATAATGAAAACTGAAAAGTGAATTATATATTAGGCCATCCAGAAAACTTTTGTTGTGCGCAGAAACAATAGAAAATTATCGACATTATAGACATAGTCAAAAGAAATAAAACTTCAGTCAGCAAATGCTAATGCTAACCATACGAACTTGCACTATATATACGCCATCTGTATATTGGAGTGCCAGCTATCTTAAATAGTAACCTTGACACCATTTCAATTCGACACATTGTCACAGCAATACATGCATGCATGCAGTTACAATTATACACATAAACCGTCAATATTTCGCAGTAACATTTCATGTTTCTTTG